GAGAGGGCGAGGGCGCTTATACTCTGGTGTATCGAGTCATTTTTCTTCCCCGATCATAGGGCGAATGGGGTCATGCTGTACTGGATGCAGCACTTGCTCGACATCGATGAGATCAAGCAGTACAGCTGGGGTTCATCTGTCCTGGCCGGGGTCTATAGAGGGCTCACCTTGACCGCCAGAACCGGGGAAATTTTCATCAAGAACTGTGTTAAATTGATTCAGGTAAATAAATGTACTTACTTGTTATTACTTCATTCATTTGTTATTATCCTTTATCCTAATATATATTAACCAAATATTTATGTCGATATCTGTAGATTTGGGCATGGAACGTATCCCTCGTATTAGCCCAAAAATGAGGGATACCAACTTTGACAGAGTCCAAGATTGTCCCTTAGGAGCAAGGTAATCACATTTATTTATATTTAATACTTAAAATGTCAAATTACTATAAAATTTTGTGATTAAAATTTTGGGTTTTTTTTTTATTATTTGATTTTTAAGGTGGGTGGGACGGAGGAATATGAAACACATCGGAAAGGGAACAGCCGCTATCCGAGATCAATTAACGTGGCTGACAGAGAATGATGTAAGATTTTTATTAAATAATGTTGATTATTATATATATTTGTTTTTCATTTTTTATTTTTCTATAACTTAATAAATATTATTATTATTTTTTTTTTACAGTTTAATTGGGTGCCATATAAGCGCCACCTGGACGAGGGTACTCTCCCGGCCTCGTGTACAGAAGGTTCACACCTCTGGATGTATAGAGGGTGGATCTTCTGTTGGGACATTCGTGAGCAACACCTGACGGATAGGGTCATCCGTCAGTTCGGGTGTCGGCAAGCCATCCCCGACCCTCCGATCATTAGGGGTTTGGCTGAGTACCAGACACACCACCGAGGCCAGGGAATGACTGGGAGGGCATTCTATGATTGGGTGGAGTATCATGGAGCACTTGGGAATGTTCGGGTCGACCAAAGAGCCCAACATGTCCTTCCACATTACCCTGTGGAGTCGTTCGTTGAGGCTGAGCCGGGTTACCTTGATTGGTTTCATTATAGGACTCGAAGACTAATCAGTAATCATGGCAACAACCCGGTGGTCCAACAGCAAGG